GCGCCTGCATTGTACAGCACATTCCTTCGTGCCTTGTTATCTGCCAAGACCGAACCTCCGTCATCAATACAAAATCTTTCAGCAGAGAACGCGCCAACCGCCACTTCTCTCGCTGCATCTACTGTGTCATCAGTAGATTTGATGCAACCTCCTAGCTCGACGACGTCACCCAACGGAATGGTCCAATCACCGCCCATTTCTACTACAAACAATGCCTCTACGTCTAACATTTCAGCGGCGGCGGCGATTGCTTTGGACCCGTTGTCTGAGTTCCATTTTGATAGTGAGATGGGACCTGCTGTAGACCTCTCAACATTCCCTCCCACAATGGCACCCCCTCAGCAGCCTCAAGATGATCATCTTGGTATGTTATCGATGGATAGCATATTAAGCAATACTTTCTGGGACAATGTCCTTGTACCAGGTAAGATAACACGTTTGGCTCCTCAAATTCTTGATGCTGACAGAGTAGTTAATGATTTAGGCTATTCGGGTTCACTCGAAGGACTCAGCGGAGGCTTTGTCTATGGTGCTGGTGGTAGCGGGTTGATTACACCCAGGTTCGGCATTTCGCCTTTTGCATCAGGTGCAAATACACCTACACGATCCAATCTGAAGCTTCCAGGAGGCGAAATAACGCAACATAAAATCGACGCCGCCTTCGATGCAGGTGGCGTAAACGGTGGCGATGGGATTAGTGTGAATTAATAATCATGGGTTCTTTTGGGACGCTGTCGTCTTTTCTTTCCTTTTTCTATGCTCTGCTAGTATATCTCCCCGTCATCTCTCTTCTTGGTATCTCATGTCTCGCTCTACAGACGAACATTACTTTGTCCTATAAGTCGGAAGTTTAGGTTCTCGAATAGTTCTTGTCTTGATTTTAGGTGTATAATGCTACTGTATAATAATACGATTTTCTTTTACCGTTCCTATTCGGTTGACGTGTTTGCTTGATCAGGTATTGTGATCTCAGGTGGGTGTAGCTGGGTCCTGAATGGGCTGATGGAATATTCTTGACGGTCCTGATCAGTCAGTATACTACGTCGTTCAAGCTCGGGTTCAAACTCTGTCACTTTGGGAATCAGTCGGTGGGAAGAATTTCCAATCAGGCCATCATACTTTCTTACCCAGACTATAAAAGGTATCGCAATCCCTCTGTATAGAGCCAATCATGTATGGTAGACATGCGGCATCAGCCTGAACCTCTCAAGTGAGCAGTCCACGTGAACACAATGATACTCCTCTTTGGTTTTGATTAATAACATGAGGCTGGGTATATCAATCCTAACTCGCTACCACTGGAGAGGTCTACGATGAGATTGGTCCTGACCCAGCCATTTTTTCTCTGGGTTCTATGTGTTGGAAAGTGAGCGTGAACTCGGAAGGAACTGAATTTTGCTAGCGTAGATTGGGGAATCTATTGCGGTGATTAGAGTACAGAAAGAGATCCAGATATCATGTCAAGAAATTTTGCAGTGGACTGTACTCAATTGTAGAGTGAGGATTCGGATTCCTGGAGTCCACTTCAGAGTCTAATTCTGAGCTGAGCGTCTGATTAGAAGCATCTGAGCGAATACCACGTCAGAATAAGGTCACTCTTACTCCGAGCAAACAAAAATGATTTCCTTACCATGAATGGTCATCGTAGTTCATCCTTATCCCCATAACAAACTTCTACGAAGCCTGCAACAAAAACGCTTTCTTCGCGGAGCGACAATTGAGCCAGCATCCATCATTAGGTGTAGGTCACAGGTTAAAACAGTGAGTCGTGGTCGTGACAATGGTACTTATCTGTCATTTAGATGTGCGGACATTCGGACCCATTGTGCTGGGTTATGGGTTAGACTAGTAGAGGAAAGAAAGGTAGTAGATATTTTGAAGATCAGACATCGGTTGAAACTTTGTCTATTTCAGGCTCAGCCTTGGTCATCGGGTACACACAATGGTAATTATGTACTAACCGTTTACCGGAGATTGCGCTATGTTGTTCTTGTTTGTTTGAGACCGATGCCTATCGTTATCGAGGAAAGGATGTCGTATACTATTCTTGGGCTCGAGGCAGCCATCAAATCCGAGGATGAAAGAAGTCCGTCGTCGTGGCTGATCTTCCCAAAGATATTAAATTTAATTTCGGGATCTGCTTCAGTAGTTTCTTCAAATTGATGTGGAGCTCCTTAATTGACCCCCATCGCACATTGAGAGTAAACGTGTTTGATAGGCTTCTGAAAAGAACAAGAAATTTGAGCTAAAGGGATCCCATTGGTGAGCTATGACTGTGTGAGGAATGAAGACGGGGAACATGCACGATATGATTCGTTCACTTGCCTCGCCACATTTCATATCTCGTCTCATCCGATCTATAATAATTGTCAGTGTATTTTTATAAACTCACGCACTCGCCCAATGACACTAGCATTCCTAGCCCTCCACAAAAATCAGGTCATAAGGCGGACTTATGTTCATCACTTCCAAAAAGCCGACATGTCGCCCGGAGATTCTTCAAACCTAGATGGAGAGTCGTAAAGCCGATACTTCGAGGTACGTTGATCAATGTCGAGTTCCTTGAAGGCGATAAGGTGAAACCTGATGACTTGAACGTGAATGTCGCATCAGGTTCGAGTGGTGCAATATCAACTGCTCCCGGGAAGCCAAGGTGTTGGATGCTGAAGTTCCTCGATGAAGAGATGTCGGACGACCTAGCATATATATAAGCTTGGCTGTCCATCGAAAGATTCCAGTATCGTGGTGTTTAGATTATTGTCGAGATCGGTGAGAATGAAATCTCTGGAAACAAAGGTTCGGTTGCACTCCCCCCCGATGCAAATTTCTTGTCGCAAAGAGATAGAGTTCTTGATTAACGGAACGGAACGATGAACTTCTGTTGATCACTGTAGATAGAGGTAAGTTCGACCCGATGCAATTCATGAATAATGAAACAATTGGCTGTCTATGTAAAATGCCACGGAACACGTTCATTCATTTGAGACAGCCTCGAGGGTGTTATCAACAGGATTCCGTGAAACTTGAAAAAGACAGAATATTTTTAGTGAGCACGTAGCCAATGAACAGTCGATGTCAAAGTGCTCACTACCTTGGACCTGGATGTAAATCGGGCGGATAACAAGGCGCAGCAGGTCGAGAAAGAACTCCGAATAAGTGGTATGGGAGTCCTCGAGTCGGGAGACGAATATATGTTGTTCCCCGGTAAAGCCAAGACAAACTGTTATAAACTGCAGTTCATACAATGATGATCGATCTGTTCTATGTTGAATACCGGTCCCAGCGACATGGAAAGTGAACAAAGCCAGAGTCGTGCAAAGTTTGTTCCTGGGATTGTGGTTTGAGAGGAAGCGAGCGGGTGTGAAGGAATCCCTCTAAGCGTCTTCACGACTTAGCCGACAGATATTTGTTCAACTTGCTTTACCTATTTTGGCTGTGTAGGTTCATTTTGATCTCCAACCTCCACCATCACCAAAATGATACAACCATGTGCGAGCTCGGTTCGTATTGGTATTGTCTGTCGTTACGCCGTTTATTTATGTAATATCCTTGAAGTTGAACCTGTTCGTAGAAGATCATTCTGCATCTTTCTACTGCAGCTTTTTGAGACCAGAGGACTATCAGTAACAAGTTGTGCGTAGCCTACTCAATTCCATTGGGATATCTTCACTCAAGAAGGCCGAGGCATTTATATTAGAATCCGGATAGTGAGTTCGCTCCCCATCGTTGTTTTTGAATCTTTTTATCACTGCCACTGGAGCGTTGGCCGCTCGATCTTCATTGTATTTGGTGAAACAATGCCGCTCGGGGATGAACTCTTCGTATGCCAGAGTTGATCATGCTAATAAACAGGTATAAAGTCTCTAGATCGAACAAGCACCTCCTTTCACCTCAACTGAAGAACACAGATACAACCAGTTCTCAGACAGTGAGTGGACATAATAGTCATCATTCTACTAATGCGCTGACGATTTGTTTCAGATATTCACGTGAACGACTTCTTACCGGTCAAAGATGTTCACAAGTACTATGTTCGCTGCTGGTGCTTTATTCGTCACCGGTAGCTATTCTTTATTGAATTCTTCTTGGAGTGTAAACTGACTCTTTCCGACTCTCATCTAGCTGTCACTGCACAAACGTCTTTATTCATCCCTGAAGTTGGCCCCGGGGAGCCTCTCGCTGGCCAAATTGCTGGCGTAGGTTCTGATGGTAGAACAACATGGTTGATTTCCGAGGGGACTGTTAGTGGCACATTCACCTCTGCAGGGGTTGGCATTGGTGCCGGTATATAAATCTATCTTCCTCATTGCAACAACCATTTACTTACATTAAATCTCTACAGCTACATTGGTCATTGGACCAACCGATGTTCAAGTTCAAGCTTCTCTCGGTGGCCTTTCAGCACAAGAACATTGTGTTTTAAAAGGTGATAGTACTGCAGACTGTACTGCTATCGTCAGCCAACCTGATGGTGCGACAACCACTACCGGTGTGGTGACTGTCAGTTTAGTCGAAATTCAGACTGGAGCATCAGGTTCAATTCAAACACCTGCTCCAAGTACCTCATCGGGGTCAGCAAGCTCGGTTCAACCTGGATCTGGAAGTGGTTCATCTGGGAGCCCTAAACCCACTAGTACTACTAGTACAAGTTCTTCTGCTGGAACGAACACCACCACCTCGGCACAGAACAGTGGTGCTATGCCTCTCTCTTCGAATGGATTGGTATGGGGTGGAATTTTCGCTGCTATTTCATTCTTGGGTTTGTAGATTGCTTAATGCACACTTCTAAGGCATGCAAATGCTTGTTATATTTTCTGGAACCCTTGATGAACTTTGCGGATTCGATAGGATTCAATTCTTTAGAGATGTCAGTTTATTACCAATTATAGATGATGATATTTGAACGGTTGAACTCAACAGGTTAAGCTTTCAATTTGTCACCTTGACCTCCCATATCAAAAACACGTCTCCTTGAAGGGAAACAGATTATCGATGCACAATTCCCATTAGCCGACTTGAACGACTGGCCTCATCATAGCATCTTATACTAGTGATGCGCTCTACCACTGAGCTAAACGGGATTGAAGATAAATAGTTCATAAATATACATATCACACATTCTGAAGCAGCAAAAGTTCTCGCTTTTCTCAACTTGAAAGAAGGAGTTGTTCAATAATTTCTTCCTCTCTACCGGTGAGTCTATGCCAGCTCTGAGCTCTGTACGGACACCGAAAGCTCGATAATTCTATAGTTTCCGAAGCAACTCCGAGCAAGTCCGAAAGCTTCGAACGTTCTCACAAGTATGTCGTACTATATACTATGTTTCGAACAGTGATGAAAATCATGTATCTTCTCAAATGATTGGTGCGGTGTGGTTACTGTGGTAGTTGCTTTCGGTACGGCTTCTTTTCAAGTCCCCTGTTCTCATTCAATATAATTTCGACGCTGTTACTGTGTACTACTCTAGTTTTTCTGTCAAATTCCAACAGCCTCGAAATATCTACGAGAAGGTCTATCTGTCAAGGTCGTGACGATTGTCGCCCATTCCCGACTTTTGCCTGACTTTTGCTCACCATACGAGGGAGATTGTGAGCTATTCCCGCAATGCATGGAACGTTTTCTAAGCATTATCAGCGTTCAGATTCCTTCGGATTGTTTCACCTTGACAAGTGCAATCAATGCACAGCTTGCACTCAACGTTCAACGTTCAACTATCATGATACCGACGGGCGACGATAGTAAGGCTATAATGCTTTAACATGGCAATATTCTTCGATTTCTATATAAAATGAGGCAAGTAGTGAAGTACGCTCGTCAGGATTTTTCCTCTGGCTTCTTCTTTCTTATAACCTCTGGAAGGTATGTTATTTCAGTTATCTCGCAATGAGACATCTACGAAAATAGTGACTAACCCTCGTTATACAGGTTACAAACTCACTTGTGCAGGCCACATTTGAATTCATTCTTTTGCTCTAAAAATCTCGTCGTCCTCAGAAATGTTTGCCCTCAAATTGATTGCTACGGCGATTTTCGTGCAAGGTAAGAATTTTTGGGTTGAATTTTGCCTTCATATCTGTTGAATTCTGATTCTCGGTATACAACAGCCACATTTGCTCAGGTTTCGCTGTACGTTCCTAACGTCGGTTCTGGAGTTCCTATGGCCGGTAAAGCAATCGGCTCTGGGAATGACGGAAGGACGACTTGGTTAGTTTCCCAAGGGACAGCGAGTGGTACTTTCACCAGTACCGGCACGGGGATCAACACAAAATTAGGTCCTTGTATGTTCAAGATGAGGCTAATTCTTAAACATTTCCTCGAAACTAACATTGTGATATTTTTCAGTTACGATCATTGAAGGACCTTCCGATGCCCACGTTTTCCTTCCTTCGGGCGGTATGTTTGGGGGACAAGAATCTTGCAAATTTCAAGATGGTATGGCAGCCTGCACTGGAGAGATGGTATTTGGTCAAGCAACAATTTCAACAACCTATACCACAACTGTGCACTTGATTGAGATTCAACAAGCTGCACCTACAAGAATGGCTACCGTGGTTGCCGCTCCGACAGTCCAAACACCACTTCCTACCCAAACATCAGGAACTGTTGGCCAGCTTCGAGTTGCGATTCCTGCCAATAACGCCGCCAAATACACTCGTAGTACTGCTGCTGCTAGTCCGATGCAGACTGTGTTTCCACGTAACGTTGCAACCAACGATGGTATGACCACGGCCAACCGATACGCATATTTCCTAGAGTTCCTTTCACTCTTCGTCCTCAGTGTTGCCTCAGCTGTCATGATGCTTTGAACGAATTTCGATTTTCACCGTTGAGTACGTTGAGTTGCCAAACTGCTACATTACTGTATTTCATTCAAAACTCTAGTTGGAATGTAATCATCCATTTTTGTCGGCCATTCTTGAATTTCTTCTGAACTCGTCGGTGGCGGTGAGTACGGAATGATGATTTTCCAGTTCTAGACCTGGTCCTCGAGGAGCCATCAAAACATAAAGATTTTCCACAAACGCACATGGACTCGGAAACAAAGGCTTTTGTGCCTTTTGGGAATAGTACAAACAACTTGCTTTCTTACTTTCAACTCGCAAACACTCACAGGTACTGTATTCGAGGAGCACTCTTTGTATACTCGAAGTCATTTTATTTCAGGTGATCTTACGACTTTACAGCTCTCCTCTAACGGAGATACACTCTTTTTATCGCATTCTTTCAACGATCTGCTGAGTTTTGAACATGTTAACTTCATTGGTCTTCGTTGCTATTTTAGCACAATGTGAGTAACCTCTCGTGTCTTTCGGTATACCTTTGATGTTGACCTTAACTTTGAAAATTCAATTCAATCAGCTACCTTTGCTCAGACTTCGCTCTTCATCCCTGGTATGGATCCTCAACCAGTTGCTGGACAAGTCGCAGGAGTAGGAACAGATGGGAGGACAACGTGGTTGATTTCTCCCGGTGTCCCTAGTGGCACACTGTCAGACAACGGGTTTTCCGGCGTTGGTAAGCCTTTCTCCATCTAGTTTGTAAAGTGCTTGAATTCACACCGTAATTACTCTGCTACAGCCACGTTAATCGTAGGTCCATCTGATGCTGAACTCATTCTTTCCGAACCCGTTGCTGGTGGAGCTCTTTTCGGAGACGAGAAATGTGTTTTGAAAGGTGATGGTTCAGCAGATTGTACTGCAATCGTCAGTGATCCAAATGCAGGATTGAGCACCATCTTCGAGACGGAGTCTGTCATCTTCATACCTATCCAAGGAGCTACCGCTGCACCTAGCACCCCTACTTCTTCTCCAACATCCGCTCCCGGTACTTCACCATCTGCTGGTTCGTCTTCAGGTACAAGTGGCACTGCGAAGCCTGGATCTAGCAGCAATTCCTCTGGTTCACCCACATCTACGAGTACTACTACTAGCAATCAAAGCAGCGGTGCTGTTGGATTGTCAGCAAAGGGCTTTATCTGGGCTGCTGCTGGTTTGGCCGTATACAACCTGGTTCTCTAAATTTCTTTTCTTGGGCATTTGTGACATCTGTGATGTAGGTACGGGTCTTCTCGGGCTATATGATATTTATGAATGTACTTCCCATTATTTGAACAACTTATGTTGGCAAAAAATCAACTTGCTGCTTTTATCTAATTCGAAGTTTGAATTCAGAAAGAGTGATTTACACGGTGTGATTTTTGTCACACCTTGTGACCGTTCGTGTGCGCCATCTAAATACGCGTTGTAAATGAACTGAAAGCTGATTATTACGCTTTCGGTCATACCTCTGCCTGTGGTCCCCTCCTCTGAATCATTCTTGTATATCAACGCGTACAAACGTCTACTCTTATTCTCCTGCAGGAATCCAACTACTTTTTCACTATCTGAAACTGCGGCAGCTAACAGTTGGGCCCTTTCAAGTTATACCCAGCTCCTATAGGAAATTCTGCTTTACCTCCGGACTCTGCATTTCTACCTTAACATCGACGGGAAGACATCACTCATGGCTGATTCTGTGAATGGGACTGGAGCAGGAGGACACCCTAAACGACGGGCAGCGCAGAAAGCTACAGCACTTGCAGCGGGACAGCTGGAGAGTTCATCAGAGGAAGAGGAGCCTCCGAGAGGAAAAAGGGTGGCGAGGGGAAAGGGGAAAGCAAGTAGGGGACGCGTTAGTGTGGCGACTGGAAGGGAGCAAGCTGTTGGTAAAGGTCGGCGTGCGATACAGCAGCAAGCATCTCTACCAGACCTTGCAATACCGTCCAAACCAAGGTCTCGAACAAATTCTCTTTCACAACAGGTCCCATCAACCACATCCACTCCACGGAAGAAACCAGCCGCGAGGGCCTCAGGAAGCAAGCTTAAAGTCCATGAAGAAGCCATCGTCATACATGATTCCGACTCCGAAGCAGATGAAGGTCCTAGTCAGCTTTCAAGTCCAAAAGCTGGTCCATCTTCACAGTCTTTAGGAAAAGCAGGGGCCTCTACGTGGAAAAAATCTCCTTTGAAGTCGAGTGGAGGCGGGAAGAAGAGACAGAGGGTGTTTTCGCCAGCAACGTCCGAGAATCCATCCGCGCTGACCGCCGCTGGAGACGATGGTGAATTAACTGACGTGTCAATGGCGACTGCGACAGAGAACGACGGATTTCCGCAGAAACCAGTACGTCGGTCTCACTCTGGGTGTTAATGTTTCCGACTTGAATTTTGCGTATTCCACAGCGTTTAGGACATCCACCTCCGTTATCCTCTGTGCGAACAGAATCCCTTCGGTCCATCTTAACTGATCCTGAAAGTGGCCCTGAATATAATTTCGTAGCCCATGGACCTCATGTCTGGGTGAAGATTGATGAAGAAGGGCAACTGACCACCGTTAATCCGGCTTCAAAAGATGTCAGGACAATGTGGTGGCCAGCCAAGGTAGTACTCGATAATGTTTGGGGAATGATGAGTATTGATTGTTCTCCGCCACAATTTTAGGTCAAGCAGCACAATCCATTGCACGTATCATTATTTGGGGAGCCTCCAGGACCGGTCACGTTTACCCATACATCTATGCTATCCAAATCCTCGGTTGCAATCCTATCTTTAAAGACGCAAGATAATGTTGTTCGTTTCAACAACGGCAATTTCGCATCATGGAGTATCACACGACCTAGCGAACCACTTCAAAGTACCTCCACGCCTTTCTCACCTCGAAAGAGACAGAAAACTGTACAGTCAAGTCTGGAAGACAAATTCGAAGAAGCCCGACTTGAGATGTTGAAAGCAGACCAAAAAGATAATGATGGCTTTCCTTCCACTCTATCTCAGCTACTTAAGACAGGAGAAGTGGAACTTCGGAGTTCACCTTCTCCGCCTCCTTTCAACTTATCCGATGAGGAAGAGGACGAAGAGGATATTTGGGTCCCTCCCAGCACATACTGCGGCATATATGAAATTCCGGGAGAGTTAGTTTTGTCGAAGGCATATAGGTCGAGGGAGGATCGTTGGCCAGCTAAGATTTTGGAGTGGATTCCTCCGCATAAGCGAGGCGCTACAGAAAAGTTCAAAGTCGTCTTTTACGATGGAACGAACAAAATCGT